TTTTAGTAACATCAACGAAGTCATCCATTTTTCATACATTTGTAAAGTTAGTTCTTGGTTTTAAAAACCTTGCAAAAATAAATTATACTTTTCTGAAACTTTATTTGAAGAATCCTAGCTGATTTAATCTGATTTGAGACAAATATTATTTACTTTAAGTTTAAAATATTGCAGAAATCATTTTTTTTTTAACCAGCTGTGTTTTTAATCCAACAGCAGCTTATTTGACATGTTGATATGTCTAATGTTCTACTTTATCTGTAAAACATAATTTAAGGAAATAACAGGATTGCTATTTTCATAGAATTTTTAAGTATTTGGTAATCTTAAAAATTTTAGAAAATTTCTGTAATCTAATGTTTTATTAAATTTTTAAAATGTTGGCTTTAAATTTTACTTTAGTCATCTTTTATTTTTTGATAATGTTGTGTATGGTTGTCCATACTTACGAAAATGGGCATATTTATACACAAAAAAAATAAATTAAACTTTCTTTTTTTTTAAATATTGGTGATCGATGATTTGCATTAAAACTTTTCTATTTATGATTAGTAAATATAGTTTTCACTGAATAATAATATCATCTATAAGGACAAAATTAAATACAGAATTTTAAAAAGATTTAAAACTTTAAAAATTATTATAATTAAAATTAAAAAATAAAAATAGTTCTTGTAAAAATTCATTATTCATTGAAATAATGTCAGAGTTTTAATGAACTTTTTATTTTATGATTTGGAGCAGATTGTCAGTAAAACTGTTTGAAAACAAATAAAAAAATTGATGGTTTACATTCTCCAAGGAGTACTGCTTTTAACTAATCTCAAAATTTAATTTTTTGAAATTTCATAAAATTAAGTAAGTGGGGAAGGAGATAACAGATGCAAAAAAAGAAAAAAAATTTTTACCAAGATTTTCTTAAAAAAAAATTTTTTTTAAATTATTTCATTTATTTGTGAAAATGTCTCCTGAAAATTTCATTAAAATCTGATAATTTAATTTTTGCAAGAATTTCCAAATCAATGTTGTTCACCTGAAAAAAGGTGCTGCCCCCCCATTTTTAACCAAAATTTTGAATGCACTAAAAAGGATAAAAAAGACTAATAAAATAAAAATCTACTTTGGTCTTTCCCCTTAATAATAAACATTCTGACAATAAAACTTTGGGTCCTTTTTCATCTTCCTATGCTCATTTTTAAGAAAAAAGTGGAGGTGCCTAATATACACTCACACTATATATGTGTGTGTGTGTGTGTGTGTGTGTGTGTGTATTGCATATATGTGAGCATGTATATATAATCTGTTTACATTTTGACAAGATTTCTTTGAATGGAAATAATGTTTTTAAAATTCTCTATTATGAGCATTTACTTATTAAAATGTATTTTCCAATTTAGACATTTTTATTAGGTAAAGTATTTTAATTCTAAGACTATATGCTACCCAATCTTTATCAACTTAAAACATGAAACTTTCTTTTATCTGAAATTAAGACATAATTGTGTTACGTCGAAAAAAAAAAAAAAAAAAGATATCTTTTGTAATTATAATGAATAAAATCAGAGGAAGTACAATCATGAGATGGGCACCTTTGACTAGACTGACTTATGAGAAATGAAAAAGGAATATATGTAATCTTTACCAATGTGACAGTTGTACATACATACTGACAATGGATCACACTTTACCATTATGCATCACATATATATATATATATATATATATATATATATATAGGCCGATGAAAGAAATTGAAGATAAAAGAAACAATAATAATATTGATAATAATAATATTCATTGTATATTATTAGGCCTTCAGTCCAAATGGAAGTTTCATGAGAAACGATGTTAAAAATCAGAATTGTTCAGACATGTCTGTGTCCTTTCTGAACAAGATGTAAAATGAGGTTGGACTTTTTTGGGGGATTATTTCTTTTGTGTGTCTTATATTATTGATGAAACTATTTCTCATTGAGAAAGGAGACAGGTGTTTCCGAAATTATCGATTTTGAACATCTTTCTCATCATGCCTAAAATAAATATTTTTTATTATCATTATTATGATTGCTGTTTTTTTTAACTTCAGATTTCTTTCATCGGCCTACTATATCTACATATTATAAGAAACATGTGGATAATCATTCTTTACTAATATATATATATATATATATATATATATATATATATATATATATATAAATAAATAATGTACATACACTTATATTTGTACATGTATGCATATATATGTATAAAACACGCACATTGTTATAGATTTTTCAGTATAATGGTATTCAATATATAAAAACCATACAGTTATTATTTGAATGCTTTTCACACGATGTGTAATCAGTCAATGTTTAAAGATAACATCAAGTGTGAAATTGAAATTATATATATTTTTAATGTTTAGGCAGCAACCCTTTCTTTAAACATGTTCTATAAAATGGAACAGACAGCAGAGAATGTCAAGCCTTTGGCTGAGTTTTTTCTAATGTTGAATAAATTGTCTAATGTCTGGTGAAAACTTGTACAAGAATTTGCTGCAATTATGCGTCAGGTCTCAAGTACTTTCATCCCATAGTCATAGCATTTGAATCTCGGTCTCTTTTAAATTGTTAACAATACCAACACCATATTCTCACTATTTCTTGACTGTTTTCATGGAAAAGGAGATACAATCAACAATAGTTAAAAGTGCTTTGAATATAACACACAATTTTGGCAAGTTTCTTTAATTTCCTTTCCACGTGTCATTAAAATAATTATTTTATAAACTTGCCAAAAGGCCAAACTGACATTCCTTATCTGTTTGAATTATTAAAACATGTTTTATACTCACACACACACACACACACACACACACACACACACATATATATCTAATATTAGTTGTCAATATATATTTCCAAGAGGATAGAATCCTGGTAGAGCTCAATGTTTAGAACAGAGCAAGAATATAATATAAAAGGCTCAAACCCTAATATTCCATAGTTGTAATTTATTACATTGGAATCGTAATCACAATCCAATTCATCAAACCTACAAATTCAAGAAGAAATCAGAAAATATATGATATGAAAATATGATATTTTTCGATTTCTTTTTGAATTTGTAGGTCTAATGAATTGAACTGTGATTACGATTCCAATGTAAATTATAACTATGGAATATTAGTGTTTAAGCTTTATATATATATATATATATATATATATATATATATTTTAAATAGATTTGTTTTTAATCTGACATTATTTCTTACTATAAACATTATTTTTAGTGGTTACATGTGTTTGAATTGACATCTGTATTTTTATTTTCTTAAACAGTTAAATTAATGTCAATTGGCCTAGATCAAGAAGTCTTACAAAAGAAAATTGTGCCTCTCGGCAGGAATCAAACCTGTATTCTCTATTGCCATCAAGGAAACCACTTCTATAGCCATAAGCATGTTATTACCAATTTGGCCACAGGAATTCATCATGATGCTCTCCCATAGACAATTTGGCTATAGTTGTTGTTCCCCTGATGGAAAAAGAAGATACAGGTGTTATTGCTGTTGGGAGACAAATGTCTGTAGTAAGTCTTCTTGATCTAGACCACTTGATATTAATTTTACCGTTTAACCTTTAGCACTTTGCTTTACTAATATTACTTCCTTTTCCACTGCATTCTTTTACAAGGTCTCTCAGTTGAAGTAACCTTATTGTTAATTTCACTCAAAGGTGTTTTCTGTTGTCATAGCAGGATATGACAACACAACTATGAAATTCAAATTCAGGGATCAGTCAATTTCAGTGGTAGGATAAACTTTTTGTACAGCAAATGAATTCATATCTTCTTTTATGCACCATGACCCTTCAGGATGTAGGTGATCATGGCTCTCCACTTCCTCCTATCCCTTGTTACAAAGTGATAAATGTAAAGAAAAAAATCAACTCAAACACATGTACCCACTAAAAATAATGTTTATAGTTATAAGAAATAATATATATATATATATATATATATATATATATATATATAACTATCAATGACCAATATAGTGTATCAATTTCACTGCCCAGTACAAAACTGTGTTTCTTGTCAAAAATCAATTACCTATATCAGACATAGTACCATCTCTTTGAATAGACACCTCATGTGTCATTGATCAGATCAAAGTGCTATAAAAAAGCATCTATCTACTCACAATTTACAAGAACTCTTAAGAAATATTCTGTCCAAAAACATTAAAATTCTATATAAATCACATTACCGGAAATATCTCACTATAAGAGAGGCTCTGTATATTAAATATCTCTCTCCCACTATCAACCTCACCTTATTTAACAGTAGGAATGGTCTGTTGAAAGTTTTAAAAAAAGAAAAAAATAATAGAAAGATGCTCATGTGAATTCCATTTAATACGAGAAGGCTTGGGATAAACGCTCTTACTAGTATTTAAAACAACATAAAAAATATATCTAAAACAGTCAAAACCTGAAGAGAAATTAACAACACCTAAAACAAACCTCCTTGAAAATGGCTAAAGAAGTCACTGAAAGTGCTTGGGACAATGGACAATTTTTGCACTCCCTTACTCCAACCAAATGGAAAAATGTAAGAACGCTGGAAAAACTCAATAAAAAATCAATTTTCCTTATCGGTCATATTTAGCAAAAAAGGTTGCTGCCCAAATATATATATATATATATATATATATATATATATAATATCAAATATTAACTTATGTCATTATTGTTTAAAGTTTATAATAATTTTTGGTTACTTGTGAACATACACATACTCTGAAAACATTCCAGTTTTCCAATTTGTAGTATATTTGTATAGAATAATTCTCTCCAAAAAGTTCCTTAACCTCAAAACTTTGTTATTCTTCTTCTGAAGAAATTAGCCTTGTTTACTTCCACTTGTCAAATAAAGGTAATTTTTTTGTTTTTAATTAAAATTAGTTTTATTTGCAGAAATGTTTTCTGTGATTAATATATCTGCCCACAGCATCAGGAATCTTCACGTTGTATATTGAAACAAGAAGGGAATTTCCAGGAACGAGAGCCTCCGCAGACTCTCAACGCCAACCAATCTTCTGTGTTTGGGACGCTGCAAATATCTTTCTCGTCATTGGGTGTGGTGCTTTCTGCTGCAGACTCACAACTTGCTGCAGATGCTCCTCTTCGGCTGCTGTCTGCCTCGTTGCCTTCAACATTATCAGAATCTGAAAAAGCAATACCAAAAAAAATCAAATCCCCCAAAAAAACAAAACAAAAATATTCTTCTGATGGTGCAGTTTATTTATTATCTTATATTTTTTACTATGACTAAAAAAGAGACTACAAGAGAGCTTTGCATTCATCTGCATTCCCTTGATTGCCATTGTAGCATATAAGTGATAAGACCATGTCTATGATTGCCATTGTAATGTATAATACCAGTGATAAGACCATGTCTATGATTGCCATTGTAATGTATAATACCAGTGATAAGACCATGTCTATGATTGCCATTGTATATATATATATATATATATATATACATACATACATACATACACAAAAACAGCACAAACATCACACTAAATATATATGGAAATTTAAAATCAAAATACACCAAAAATATGTAAAATAAGAAAAACGGCATCATCCTACAACAATAAATCCCAAAACTGCAAACTATGGAAGAGAAAATAGCTATAATCACCTTCCCAGACCAAAATATATTATTAGATAAATGAACTTATCTTAAAATGCAGACACAAAAGAAATTTTTACTATATAATTTAAAATGGAAAGCTAAAATGAATACCTTGCAAAATGTCACTATGAAAAATGCAAATATATGTACTATATACAGCATAATGTAACAGTCTAGATAAAGTTAATACTCTAAACTAAGCAAATAAGATATTCAAACCTCATAGGCAAAAAATAAATAAATGAAAAGTCAAAATAAGCAAATAAACAAATTAAGTAAAGAATAAACAAATAAACTACAAATTCACACAAGTAAATGCAGTAGTAGTAATAATAATAATTTATTAAAAGTTGCTTTATGACTACGAGATGAAATATTAGGGGTGGACATAGTTTGACATTGAGGATTATCACAAAAAAATTTAAAGTTTAATAAAGAGACTTAAAAATGAAATTAAAGAAAAGAAAAATGTAATTTCAAATTGTATAAAATTTAGCATATCATGTTGAAAGGCAGACACAGAATGCCATCCAACAAATGCTCAACTTTCTGGTGCCAAGTTTTATAAGGTAGATCACCCCCTGCCTCCACTACAAGTTAGCAGAAGGATCATCAATAAATTCATTAAACAAAGGAAAAGAAATAAAGAAAAAACAAAATAGATTGATTGGAAAATATTCTAATAGACTCATTGAAGGGATTCCTGGTAGCCCATGCCTTAAAGAAATACAAAGAATTGTACTCACAAGTACAGCCCACACCTTATGAAAGACTATATGTGATATTTGTTCCCCACAAAACTGTTCAATGGAAAATGTCATGATGCCATTTCTGACCATAGGTCTCTTGTCGAGACCCAGAAAGAAATGAGTATACACCAAAAATCAAAGGTAGTAGTAGTAATAATAATCATCATCATCATCATCAACAACAAATAATTAAGTAATAAATAATATATAAAGAACAACAACACTATAAAACAATATAGAAGTAACTGCATTAAGACACACAATTTTTATTCTATAGCCTCTAGAATAATTTGAAATATAACCATTACCACCTACCTAGTAATGATTAGGATAATATAACTTTCTACTCAAAATGCATCATTGACCAACATATATAAGTAGTCAAGTTGGGCACCTCGGCGTGGTGTAATGGTTAGCAAGCTTGTCTTGCTAGATCAGTTACGACTGAAAAGTGAGTTCGATCCTCACTAGGTGTCCCATACTTTCGGCCTTGTGCCACGTCTAAGTTACTCTTAGAAAATAACTATATAAGTAGTCAAGCTAACACACAACACACATGGGCTGAAGAACTCATTCAAGCATGTAACAGAGTTGCACCACTTGGTGTTGATTTAACATTTACCTTACCCCATATATATATATATATATATATATATATATATATATATATATATATATATATATATATATATATAGGTAAAATGTTTTGTTTTCTTGAATAATTGGCTGTTTGGAGAAGACAGTCTCTCAAAATAGATGGCATCTCTGCTAAATTTGCAGGACATTTATTGGGATAATTTGCATGAGAATGATGATGCTTAGTCGTCAATGAATTATAACCATCTGTAGCTATGGCTACAGGTATATATGACTGGTATTTTTAGTTTGGGCAGTTTGGTTGGTGCTGATGGTTGGGAAAGTACGAGTTGGATTTTTGACTAGGTGGTCTTCCAGGAATATAGTCTAATATTTTTAGTGTCGTCAGGTAGGCTGGTTGGTGCTGATGGTTTGGTAGAGCACTACCAGATTTGCAACTGAGAATGGGTATGCTTGGTCATCAATGAATCATAGCTTATTTGTGACTTGGTGGTTGTCCAAACCTGCAGGTTTTTGACTGGGCAGTTGTTCATATTGCAGACTTGTGACTACTCAGATTTATTTTCTACATTCAAGCATCACTTGCCAGCGCAAACAATCAGTGTACAAACCTCTATTAAAATATCCTTCATATGAAATATTTTTATTTAATGCCATGTCTCTTGAGGATATAGGCAATACCATCACTCTCCACAAGTTCTTTTACTTTATTATCTCTAAATTGACATGCATTCTTGGGAAAGATAGTGGAGTGGTTTTCTGTTGCCTTCTCCATGGTTTAAATTTTCATTCTCTCGGACTGGCTGTCATCCAATGTAGTCTACTCTGCTATTTAACCCATAGCTGGAAGTTCATGCCTTTTCCAAGAGCATTAGTGTAAAACAACAGACTAACCTGGAATTTGAACTCTGTTCCCTAATTCTAATCATTACACTATATAAAAATCAAAATTGATGGCAAAACTGGAAGACCTTAAGAACTTCATTCTAATACTCTTGTAGGCTGTTATTTTGATCTTATGATAATAACAGTAAATATGACACCAAAAATTTGGAGAGTAGAAATCATGACCAGAAAGCAGAAAATCTTCTCAGTCAATAAGCAAATAGTTATAGGTGAGTCTTGGTGGTGTGTGAGGGTGGAGGAGAAAGAGAATTTGCTTACTGATATCGTCTGTGGAGCAAGGATCTGTAAATCGGCTTGAACCTCGTCGTTTTGGTTGTCTCTGTAGTAGAAGTACAATTCCATTGAGATAGTTGAACACTGACAGCTGAGTAATACTCTGGCGTACTTCATTATTCTGAATGGCAGTACTAAGCCACGTGCGGACAAAAGTGAAGTCAGCTCCAAGTTGATGAGCTCCATGCAAACTGCAAAAGATGATTCAAATAGAGAGAAAACTTGAATAAAAAAATAATACAAGTATTTCAAAGAAAAATCTTACAAATACTGCCAGATTACCTGGTATAGTTTGGGAGGAAAATGTTTTTGTTTAGAGATAATCCAATTATTCTGTATAAGATAGTTCTTCCAAACTAACTTTCCTTAACTTTCTGTCTGAATTTCTGGGATAATGAGTTTACATTATTTACATGTGGACTATTGTCCTCATCTTTGTTATTATTATCACAATAGTTTAGCCAGAATACAAATGCCGATTGGATTCATTATATTCACTTACTCTGGGATAAATAGTCAAGACTTGTATCTGGAAAAAATCATTATTATTTTCAAAGAAATTGTTAATGGAATATTCAATTAAGATTAAAAAAAAAAAAAAAAAAAAAGAATTATTCTTAGAATCCAAAATATGTTTCAGCTTTAAATAACTCATAAAGAGTTGATAAACCATAAAGAAACATCTGGTCTGGTACTTCTGCTATATATTTAGAGATTCTTGATAAAATCCACAGAAGAATTTGCAATGTTATTGGTCTTGACCTAGAATCTTGGCTTCAGTCGCTTTCCCACCACCGTAATGTACCTTACCTGTGCTTTTTCTATAAATATTTTCATGGTAATTGTTGTGGATTTCGGGATGAAATCCGGTACCAATAAATAACAAACGCCAAGAAGGAATATAGGAAAATAGTACAAACTGGTAATGCAGGTTAATAGTTCCAGGTATGCGGGTTAGTAGCAAAATATATATATATAGTCTTTGGTATCGACGTATCACTGTATGACTTCTTACTGAGTCTACGTGCTTGCTCACTGTGACTCTTGCTCGTTATGTTCGTCCTTCTTTCTCATTCTTCTCTTTCGCTCCCAGGTATTCACGTAGCAGTAGTATATGTATACCCTGGGTGAGTCCATTTGTGTAAAAAGGGGAGAACCCCTCAACAGTCTGATGAACTTTCCTCTAAAGTACCTAGACTTTATGAATTCAAGCACAGTACTAGATTGGCAGCAAAGTCTCATCATTTTACAGTTGAAATGGCTAGATGTAACTGTAAGTTCTATGCTAACAGTTTCTTCTATCACACTTCTCACTTGTGGAACTCTCTTCTGACTTGCTTTCTAGTTAACTTTGATCCTCTCATTTTTGTTTCATCATTTCACCCCAAGCAAAGCAATAAGGCCATTAAGATGAAAGAGGTTACTTCATAAATTAGTACTCTGGCAAATGATGATGAAGAAGAAGACATCTTTAGAGACACACTTTTAGAGGACTCAAGAATAGAGACAAAACAAGAGTTAAAGACCATCATGGTAGACCATGCTGAATAAAAAAATCATGTGGATACTATTGGGCAAACCCAAAAGATGACCTAGGCTGGTCTAGTTTATTTACTATTTTCTGCATGCTTACAAAATTATATTAAAAAAATATAGTGACAAGTCATCAATATAATAAATGTGAATGTCACTGTTTTGTTGTATATTGCTGCTGAACTCAATAAAGTGACAAACACTTACATATAAAAATATATAAATAGCTTTATTGTTCAAGTTGCAGCAATTGGGTAGAGTGATGGAGAATCAGAGACATTAGAATTGTGTACATAGGAATTGATGGAGACAAAATCTTTGGTGGAACTAGCCAGCCTCTCTTTCGGGCCAAGAATTGGACTGGTTTTTATAACATTTAGATACCTATGCATGTTCCGGCATGTTGTCTATGCAACTTCATGTGGCCACGCAAGCACACATTTCCTTCCACTCAGGACACCTGTGCATCCTGCTTATTTCAGCCATTTCCTGTTTATGCTATCACTCATTTCGATTTTCGTTCACTCTCTGATGCAGTGGAAATGAGGTCAGAGGTCTTCCTCAACCAATATCTAACAGTGTCACACTTTTTCAACTTTACTCCTTCAGGCTGTAGCCCAACATATACCATTTTGGAATCAGCGCGATTCCGTAAGCAAATCAAAAACATTCTATGCCAGATCTGGACGTGCAATCTGGAAATTTGGGATTCCCAAGTTTTCATTACTGCAATTGTTCTCAATGATTTTGTTTTTTTACAACAATTTTTTTTGTACGATAACAATTTTTATAACTTGGAAATAAATTTGGGAATAATTGAAATTAATTGCAAAATCGAGCAGAAGTCACCCATGAAATAAAAATAATTGTTTGTACAGAAAATAAGGACCTACGTATATCAAATTGTCTTTAAATTAAGTGGTGGCAGAAGAATTATCATTGAACTTTTAAAATGTAAGCTTAAATATTAATGCCATACTTAAATGCAGCAATCAATTTTGAGTTCTTCTGTAGTTTATTGTTGCCTATCACATCTATTCATTCTCTCTTGCGATGAAAGCTCAATCAAGAGCCTTCTGCAGAAGCTAGCTAAAATGCTACCCAACAGGGTGGTATTTAAGCTAGCATTAAATATAGTGATTTACTAAGTGTAGCCTAGATATGGCACAAGGCAAAAAGTATGTAGTACACAGTGAGTATCAAACTCACTATTTAGTCATAATTGATCTAGCAAAACAAACTTGTTAACCATTATACCACATCAAAATGTCCTAGTGGTTTTCTAAGCGTAGCTTAGATGTGGCACAAGGCTGAAAGAATGGGGCATCCAGTGAGAATCAAACTCACTATTCAGTCATAATAGATCTAGTCAGACAAGCTTGTTAACCATTACACGACATCAAAGTGACCAAGCCCATGATAAATATAAACAACATAATGAAAAGTGTTTTACCTAAATTTGATTTTTTCTTTGAGAATGTAATCTGTCCAAGCCTCACACATGGCAACAGTTGCCATGGAAATAACACTCAGCTGAGATGTAACTTTTAGCTTACTAACTCCATCGAGTACAGGCTCAAGGATCGTTTCCAAAGCGTGTTCAACATAATCCTGTTGTTCAACAGTGTAGTCTGAAAAAGCAACAATCAAACACATTTTAGAATCAAAAAAGAAAAACAAAAGGAAAAGAAAAGTCCCTATTAGAAATAATTCATTTCATACTTTAAATAATTGGCAGTAATTATTAAGAATACACAAGTTAAGTTTTTATTCATAATTATATTTACAAAAGATTTAGGCTAGAAGATACAAAATGTTGATATATATATGTGTGTGCATGAAATATAGTTTTAAGATATGCTGTATTTATTGGATAAAGTGCTCAATATCAGAGATAGAGCGGATATAAATATAAAATATAAAGTGGACATTGAAGTCAACACTCAGTCCACCGCCTCTGAGTGTTGACGTCAATGTCTGCTTATATATGAAAATATTTGTCTTACAATCATATCCATAAAAAAATAAATTCCTCTCTCCACCATTGCATACAATAAAGAAAAAGCATTTAGCAATTATTGTGAAAGTTGATAAAGAAAAAAAGAAAAAGGTCAATACTTGAATATTATCATATTGCAAAAAAAAAAAAAGAGAAAAGCCTGTTTTCCATTATAAACAATATTCTCAGTTTTTCAAAATATAATAGAAAATAAAATTCAAATAATACAGACTAACAATTCAATGAACAGCAAAAATTCATTTAAAATATTTCATACAGGTGTTACCTTCATAGCAAAGATGGATTCGCAATTGACTTATAATAATTAACAGTAAGTTATCAGATTGTTTATTGAATATTTTCACTTAAATCATCCAGTTAAGTGCATGATGACACTTACTATTTATCCATTTATTTCAGGGTTTTTTTCTAAAATCAAAGAAAATAATTGGAAATTATGAGTCATCTAGTGGCAGCCTGATTCTTTACTCTCAATCTTACAATCTCCAGAGTTATCACCCTAAGCCTCACCTACGAAATCCTTGAATGGAATCCAAATCCACTTTTGTATTCTTCATTTACAGAAACAACATTTCTGATGTGGGTAACCACAGACAAAATATGCTAAATAAGTGACTTTATTATGCAGTCCCTATACCAGTCTTTCTAGTTAGGTGGGAAATAGTATCAATGCTTTTCTTTAACGCACTGTACCTGAGTAGCACTTAAAATGATAACATTAAACAGAATTTGCTCTTCAGAATAGTTACATAGGAATTAGGAAGAAACTCTTCTTTTTTTTTTTTGGCTTTTAAGATTGGGCCTACTCAGGTATTCTTAGAAAATGAAATACTCTTTTTGCAATATGGTAACATCTAAAGAGGTTTTTATTTACAGAGTTGAATTTGTAAATGAAAATCATTAACAAATGTTTCCATCATAAAATAGAAAGGTTTCACCTTTTAACATACATTCTAGTCAATAATTGAAAACAGAATAAAACAAAGCCTCTCCAATATAGTGATGCTTTCATTCAGTTTTTTTTGCTTAATTTTTAAACTTTAAAAAGAATTTAGCAAAATCCTACCAGAAATTAACTGCATGCAGAAATCAACTTTTAAGATAATTTCATTTTTAATTGTGACAGCAAATAAAATGTTTCCTTGCCTATATTATATCCAGATCTGGATTTTTTACAATCAGAATTGGATTTTGGTAGGTGTCTGGAACTCCGTTTTCTAAGCCCTGGAAGGTAAAAAAGTACTGATCTGGAGAGGTGCCAGACTTTATAAAAATCTCCAGGTGAAAATATCGCACTGGCACTGATTACATTGTTGTTGCTGATGTTAGCTAAAAAGCAGCATTGATTAGTGATAGGAACTTGTTGAGTTAATAATGGACGAGGGTGTAGATTGTAGACAAAGGCGGCAAAAGCTAAAAACGGCTTCCAAGAACAAAGTAGACAAATTAGGAATTAATAATAATTAATAATATTAATTAATTTGTAGCTTATAAAAAGAATGTCTGCACACACTTTTCAAAGAAACTTGAATTTTGTGACAAGTAACTTTTGAAAGCAAAATTTAATTGACATTAGTGATAGGAGTTATACAATTTATAGGAATCAAAGTGTCTGCTGCCAAATGTAAAGGTCAGTTTGAGTTTCAACCTCTGCCAACAGATCTCAGTCCAATTAGATAGGCAGAAATAATACGACCAAGTTCTTTTTTATAACAATTCTTCTTCTGTGTGTTATGTCCCTTTAAGAATGTTATGATCATTGTAATACCTTTTTCATTTATTTCATTTTCAGCTTTCAATTAGAAATTAAAATTTAATGCCTGATGCAACCTATCTTGTGTTTAATTTAAAGTAAATTAAAGAATCAATAATACAGGTTTTAAAATTCGTAAAATACATGAAAGATTTTTTTAATAAACTGCCCTTGATGACTTTTTGGAAGTCATCAAATTAAAGTACAATTTCTAATTTTTGAAGTAAAGCCAAAAGACTGAATGTGAAAAAGAGACTAATATTTTTATTTCTTATTAAGTTCTCTATATATTCTCTAGCTACAGACAGATTTAATGTTGGCAGAGGCAGGTACACTTTAGAATATTACGGACATATCTTTGATGACTGAATTGGTCTCAATTGGATAAAAGTAATCACTTCCATTGTAATAGGTCACATATCATAAGAAATAAAGACGAAAAGAGAGCGAGATTTAGTACTTTGTTAATCTAATGGTAATTGTTTAGCCATTCTTAAAGAAGCTGCAAAAACTGATCAGATACATAGTGTATGTAACATGGATAAAGTCAGTAAGTTAAATATGTTTCCAAAACGCAAGGCTATTGTGCCAAAAGGAATGCTTAAATAAACATGCATCATTCTTCAGACAAGCGAGGCGAGTGACAAGTGAGAAGATCAAAGAAATTGTGGAAAGAATCAGAAATAAGAAAAAAAGGTGAAAGATATTAAAGTTGAAAAATAGCTGATACAAAAAAAAAAATTTTCATTTGGGAGTTGTATGCCTTTTCATTGACACAATCACAAGTTACTAGTACTCACACACACACACTCTTATGAATACACATATGTTTTATTTTATCTATACTAATATTACAAATTTATATATGCATGTGAGGTGATTACACCAAACAACAAGTTCCACAGCATAATTTTTGGCATGAAGGCTCACTAGATATCCAGGTGCGACAAAGGTAAGGAGAGGCTCACTTGATATCCAGGTGCGACAAAGGTGAGGAGAGGCTCACTAGATATCCAGGTGCGACAAAGGTGAGGAGAGGCTCACTAGATATCCAGGTGCGACAAAGGTGAGTAGAGGCTCACTAGATATCCAGGTGTGACAAAGGTGAGGAGAGACTCACTAGATATCCAGGTGTGACAAAGGTGAGGAGAGACTCACTAGATATCCAGATGTGACAAAGGTGAGGAGAGGCTGACCATGATGCCACCAGGGGTCATCAAAAGCATATAATTTCTAGTCAATGAAGTAATTCCTAACTTCATTACTTTTTGTTAGAAATTACTTGGGGTAAGCAGCTGGGTTTATCATCATGAGAGTTGTTTTGATTTGAAAGCACGCTGTAAATCAGTGTAATTTCTTATTTTCAGCATGACTGCTTGTTTCCACTCAGACCCATTCATGATTCTTCAACATCCACAGAACCAACCAGTGATTTATACTGCAACCATGCAGAGCAAACCTTAGTTACAGTTCAAATATGTACCCTCCCAGGTCAAGGCCACATACGATATTGAATTCAGAATTGTCCTTCTCCTAGACTGGTTGCCAACCATAGTTAGAGAGTCCAGTCTGTGTTGCTATTTAATCTATAGCTAGGGGAGGAAAGAGATGAATTCATATCTTTTTCAAGTGTATTTGTGTGAAAGTGAATGCATCTATCACAACTGGAATTCGAACTCAGCTTGTTGAGTTCCCATTCTAAGCATCTTCTCATTACACCATCTGCACATCGACTGAGTTTCTTTTGAAGTAAAAAAATGCTTTTGAACTGCAGAAATTATAAGATAAAGTCAAATTTGATCTCCAGTGCCATCAATAATTATTACAGGTGGAATTAATTTGTAGCCTTTATTATCTGTGTTGTGACTGAACAATTCTTGGAGTGTAAATGGTAGGTTGGGTCGGGTAGTTTGGGTAGAAAAAGATGATAGGATTAGAGGTAATGACCTTTTATATTATTTGAGGTCAACAGAAATCAATTTGGGATTTGCTTCTTTTTTTTTTTTCCACCCACATGAAACAACTTCAATACCTGGACTTTTTCCCTGTTTTGTTTATAAAATGTTGTGCCACCCAGACACAAAATTTCCAAAATTTTTATAATTTTTTTCCCAACTGTTTATTTAAAACCACAAAAGAAACAAAAAAGGTGCAAGCATTTTCCTAAATCTGATAATGTATTTCTATAAAAGGCAGTATAACCAGAGAAATACAAATGTTTAAAAATTAGAAACATATCTTTGATTGTTTTACACATCAATTTTACTTGACTACATCATGATTAAATTTTGCAGCCAATAATAAAAAATAACAGTTAATGATCATGATTGTTTTATTGTAATTCAAGAAAAAGCCAGGATTTCAAATTTTCAAAGCAGACAAACAGTCTCTTCCCAATTGAAAAAAAAAAAGAAAAAAAGTACAATGATTTTTCTACTCTTAATGAATATCATGAGGCCTGCTTGTTGTTGGAAATAGTTGTGTTTGAATTCCACTAAAAAGTTAATATTCTTCTGAGAAAATTTGGCCCAACACACTCTTCCTATTTTCAGTTGAACTACATCTCATAAACATTGATAAATAGTTGAATATGTAAATTAATCTAACTTAACTTCTTGAGAAAATAAAAGTACCGAACAAAGCTTCAAAATGTTAGATATGAAGTGGAGTTTAATTAAAAATGTCATTTCTGGTTTTTGGCTTCCAGATAATTTGTCTACTTTTTAAGTAGTATGAATCTTCATAAATTTATTTCAGTGCCTTCAACTAAATGCAAGTAAATTCATAGTGTTTTTCACAGCATTTCAAGAGGAGAATTCTTTTTGGAAATTACTAAATTTGAATGGCCAAATCATCAGTAAGTTCTCCTACCCAAGATATTTACTAAGACTTTTTAGACTTTATTTTTTTTTTTACTAATGCTAAAGTTCAACATTACAAAGTTTGGGAGCCACTCCAAGTAGAGGGTTACTGAATTAGTTGTATGATATGAATGTAAGACAAGGAAGTGAAGATTATGAGGATGTAAAGGATAAATAATGATTGACTTTTGACTTAAAGATTGAAGTGTTTGGGGAAGCACCCATGTAGGAGTCTGTTCCACAAAGCAACTTAATCAAATACAAAGTCAAATGGTAGTTAAATTAGAATAAAAAGAGTGTGTTGATTTAATCTTCTTTGTCAAGACCTGCCTTGAAAATCAGCATTCAAAAAATAATTTTGTTTACTCAAGTTTGAATACCAATCTCTGACAATGATAAGTAAGGTTACCTCTTTCTTTTTTTTCTGTATATCATTTAAAAGCTGAATAGGGAAATATAAACAATTACAAAAGACAAATTTCTTAAGCAGTCAAGAGACTACTTGGCTACATATCACATTGTTAGGACTAGTATCTTTATCTTTGTCATTTTAGTCACAACATTGTAACAGAGAATTGAGTTCCTTGATCACATCCATCTTGATGAGGAGGTCCAAACCAAGTGGCTTCTCTTGAGCCACTAGTAACCAAAGGGTGGGACAAAACCTACAATGTCTCTTTGAAAAGCATGATTCATGAGATGATAATGAGAGTGTGTCAAGAAGAACCTGCAAGAGGAGGGCCGGTGTGTGTGCAGCCAGGAAATGGTAGTGTGGCTGAGTGGTCTAAGAAAGTGCTTTAGATACAATGGTATTAGCCACATGGTGAAAGATTGTCTGAGTCTCTTTTCAAGTTCACCTGATTCTCTGTTACAAACATTTTGACTGATATATCCTTTGGCATTGTCCAAGTGTGCATTAATCTTTACCTGAGAAAGGTTGAAAATATGAAAATGAAACAGTAAGACAGAAACAAAGATGAAGACACCAGGCTAAATAATGTGTAAAATACTGAATATCATAACTTCTGAAAGAAACATCAGCATTCATTGACCAAGCAAACAGTGTTACCATTGGTAGAATTTTATAAAATCTTTCTCATAAAAATTTTTTCAGGGATATAAGTTTCTCAAGTCCATTAGCTGTTATCACTCTTTCCAGTATTGATGAAGGTTTCCTTCCTAACCTTTTATTTGAAATGTTGTGGAACGTTAACATCTTGATTATATCATTATTTTCTTCTAGAGTTACATGTGCTAACCATTTTGGCTGTTGCTGCTGTTGAAAATCCTCAAGTGATGTAGTTTCTGTTGTTTGGTACAGTTTTTTGTTTGTGATTCTATGGTGCCAGTCAACAAGGTTCAAAGAAGGATGGTTCTCACTAAGATCTACAGGTTAAACTTGTACAAAGCCATTTTTAACCATTGATCTTAGAAAATGATTGTATACAGATGACAGTTTAGATAATTCTGAATAGGTTTGGCACCATACATGACATCCATATGAATGTCTCGATCTGATGAGGCTATTTAAGAACATGACTTGAGTTTTCAGGTTAATGTTTTAGTTTTGTAGCAATTAGTGGTGTTGGGCAAAAGTACCTATATCAGTC